CTATACAGTGCATCTATTTTAAAATGAATAATTCTTGAAAAAACGGACATTTTTGAGAATTTCAAGTCCGATCCCTATAATTTTTTTTTTTTTTTTTTGGTCATTTCATTTTAAAATGTTCATTTCTCATTTCCTGATGTATTTATTTTTTAAGAACTTCCTAATTCATTTCCTGATTGTAGTGTAATTTTTTTATTGGTCTAACCGAAGCTTGCGATGTGATGTTTTCAATTTAGAAAATTCTTTGACAATGGCGAAGGCGTCTTTTGCATCTTTCCCTAGGCTGTAAGCTTCGATATGACGGAAACTTTTCTTCCAGTATCTTCTAATTAAAAGAGATGGCTCTCCAGGAGGAGCAGCACAACCCAGAAACATGTTGATATTATTGTCGAGGGACTTGAAGTTGTAGTTGCAATTTTGTCTTGCAACTTTCTTAGCGGCCCCCCAAAATCGTTCGATCGGATTTGTTTCGCAATGGAATCCGGGGTACAGCTCAAAGATATGGCCTGCATTGCCAATGGCTTCTTCCAAAATTGATTTTTGGTTCAAAAAATCGGGTTGGCTACCAACCAGATGGTTTGCAAAACTCGTATGATCATCAAGACCGATGTTATGGCAGTCCTTATTTTGGCCACTGTATCTTTCTCGCTCTTGAAGAATAAATTTGAGGCCCTTAAAATAAACTTTCATTTTGTTGTTCTGGCATAAAAAATAACACAAAATTTAAAAAATTACTTACTAATTGGTATTCCTGAAGTAACTTACCGGATGCTTTTTTCTAATAAACTCATTTTTTGTCGTTTTAAATCAGCATTCAACTTTGAGTTATGCAATTTTTGAACTCCAACAAAATTGTTGTCTCTTTCGACATAAAAATCCTGGATTTTGGTAGCATCTTCACCTGCGGCAGACTTTCCGGTATATTCATCATTTCTTACTCGAACCTTATCTTTACCTACTTCATGGGGAAGCATGTTCATTCTGTTGTCGACCAAAGCATCCAAAGCAAAGGCCTTGTGGTTGCTGCTTTGGTCGAGCGAGAACACTCCAATGCTATTTTTATGCAAGAAAGCAAAGATCCCAAGAACGTCTTGCAACTGTTCCGGCATATCAGAGATAGTCCAATAACCCTCACTTGCTGCACCGGGATAAAAAATCTTTCTTGAATCATTAACATATTTTTAATTGTGGCCATCATGGTACCATGGCACTTGCAATGAAACTCTGAGATCATGATTGATCTACCCTCAGATTTAGGCAGACAATAGCTCTCATCATTTTCTAGCCATGTCTGTTTTTGGTAATCGTTGGCATAGAATGTGCTCTCGTCATGGGTAACCAAAACATGTTTTTTGGACTACTGGGAACACCAACGAAACTTCCACATTAACATCATTAGGGTCATACTGCTGGGACAGTTCCGGATACCCCATCATTTGCTTGGCCCAAATCTGACGATAATCGATGACGTCTTATCTCCCTTGTCCATCAAAGTATACGGTACGACCTATAAAAGCAGAATTATTACAAATGGTTACCAATGACATATTGAAATATTACCGAGAGGTTTAAAGTTAAAACCCCATTCAATTAACTTTCTGTGAATACATTCGGCAGAGAAAGGGCTGCAGGCATCCACAGAATCCACATCTATACCGGGATCGATATTTATACGCAACTCATTTTGTATGCCGGTAATACTTCTTTGGCTACGAGGTACAGCACGAAACTATTCAACGATTTTTTTTTTGATATCATTATCGTCAAGAATTGATACTCTCTTGCTATGCAATCCCTGCATTCCTTTGCTGACTTTGTTAGTTTCCAAATATTCGTCTGCCTATTTTCTTATGAGAAGGCTACGGTAAATAGTAGCTTTGCTGTACCAAAATACTTTTGCGGCACATTCAGATGCTTCTGTCTTTTTCAAACCTTTTAAGCGAAGTGACAAGTACAGATGGACAGCTTGATACTTGGAGTTTTCATCAACACCATTTTTTTGTTGCTCAGAGCGAGCATTAATTGTTGGTCCCGATTCCGTATCCAAAGTAACAAGAGATTCGGCAATCTGTTCCATTTCAGTTTTTTCTGGTGTTGTTTCCTCGATTGGTTTAAAAAAACGGAGAATAGATGTATTTCCCTAAGCCATTTCTTTGTTCTTTTGAAATTTTCTTCTTTTATGTCTATCACACACATCAAATCCACGACTGTACAAAGACGTTGCTTGATTTCCGTTAATTTTTTCAAAAGCTGTGGGTTAAGACGAAGCGACTATTTATTAGATATCTGTACTAATAACAAAAAAAAACTGTTAGAAGTTTATTACCATTTTCCTTTTTATCTTGCTCCAAGGGCATAATTTGAGGCTCATCTTGAGGCTCATCACTGATTATTTCTACCGTTGGTTTATTGTCTATACTGCGATGTTCGCGCATTTTTTGAAGATGGCGTCCTTGTCTCTTTAATTTAGGCATTGAAGTAGAAGATCATGTTGCACAAATGTCAAAGTTTCTGGTACCTTCCGCCAAAATCTATTGCTCTGGTGATTGGTCAGAATTAGATTTACGAAAAAGAGATTTAAAATATTTTTAAATCCGCGACGGGAATTTATTTAGCCGGAGAAAGCCGGCTCAAAGAATGTATTAGAGCCGGATTTTTGATACATGTTCAATTCATCTAGGTTATAGCACAATTCTTTTTGTTAAAAAATCGGAGCCAAGAATTATTCAGGATAAAATAGATGCACTGTATTAAAACTTAAAAAAGGTAACTCTTTGAGCAAAGTACTTTCACATATAAACTATAGTATAAGGACGTCGTGCCTTTCATGAAGAATACTTATGTATACCTGCGTCCTTTTTTTTTTCTACGGATAATGACTACACCTACTTTTTAAATCACCTAATTTTTTTTTAAAAAGTAAGTCGTGACTAACGTACTTTATTTTTCAGTATTTTTTTACAAACGTTTTTTTTTTCGTACTTTTTCTAATTTTACTTTTTTTTTCTACGTATGTTTTATTTACGTGCCTTTTTTTTTGAAAGTGCTTTTTTGTTTTTCTCGACGCTGTTTTTTTTTTCAACATACTGTGTTCTTCGACGTGTTTTTAATTTGCGTGTCCTATCTCACATAATCAATTCATGTATGAAAAAATATAATCAGATCTTTGTGTTTTTTCATTTTTGTATGAGTATGAGATATAATTTAAATTGTTTTAACTTTTAGTCTTCCAAAAAGTCGGCTTCGAAGTCAAACGGATATCAAAGCTATCCAACTTTATAGGTCTCTTCCATAATTACAATTACATCTTCATATGTCACAACTTCATCTTCAGCGATAATCCAACCAGCAATTTCAGGGACGATGACAGTTATAAAATATTATTGGTGACTTAAACCAGTTGCTTTTAGTGCACCGGACCCTTTGTAAGATTCATGCGAAAACATGTATATGGTTGCTTTGCTAATAATTTCATAGCCTATTTGACGATAATTTCCTGGCTAAATGATATATAATATTTAAGTAATTTGCATTTTTTTTCGCGTTTAATAATTTGTTACCTTACTACGGTGCTTGTTTGCGTAAAACAGGTTGAGCAATTTGTAATTAGCTGAACCCCCAGCAGCCTCAATATTAAATTTTGTGTATTCGAATTGGCTTTGGTCTCTTCCAGATATAAGGCTGTAGATGATTGCATTTTTAATCCGCTCCTTGGATTGGTGGCCAAGTTATTCGAATGTAAAACATTCGCAGAAATACTTTAAAATTAATTGACGTTGTTCTTCAATAGTATGTAATTTTCATAACTCTCTGAGTTTAGGTTCGTATATATTGTGTATTTGTTTTATATTGGCCTTTGGATTTCTTGACGTTTCCTGAGTATTTGTTGTCTTCAGCATACATTTTTGTGTGTGTATTCTTTTTTTAAGGTATCCAATTTATAATAAGCATCTATAATGGGGGAATGCATGTTGTTACTTTTAAAGACGAGATCTTGGCATTTATGACAAAAAAACTCAGTTTCGGTCTGGTCAGGAGAATTAATTGCTTTGATAGCTCCAATTGCTTCGATTGATGAAATATGTGAGGGTACTTCCACAACAATTTTGGGTTTTCACAGTATTTCATTGTAGATAATTTTTGTTGTTGTTGTTAATGCTGCTTTTGTTGCTTTTGTTGCTGGGTCTGCTGTTATTGCTTTTGTTGTGTCTAATGTTGTTTCTGTGGTTGTGTATTTTCCTGTAGCTATGGGTTCTTATTTGATTTTGTTGTTTTTGATTTATGTTATTTTCTTCTTGTTTTGGTTTATATTATTTTCTTGTTCTTTTTGATTTATTTTATTTTCTTTTTCTTTTTGATTTATATTGTTTTCTTGTTGTTTTTGATTTATTTACGTTTTTTGCTGATTTCGGGTCGTTTTTGTTTTACATTGTTTTTGATTTCTGTTGGTTTGTTGGTTTTCTTTTGAGAGATCAACCCATGGTATGTCTTATTTGCTAGTCAAGTCAGTACCTTTGTTGTTTTTATTATGTTTTGTGTAGCCTTAATTGTTGTCTCCACAAGTCTATTCCGGTTTTTGGATGTTTGAAGAGATCTTTTTTGTAAATTGTGGTATAATGCTGGAAGAGAACAGCTAGTTTTTTTTTTCAATTATATAGGTGTGTAGTGATTATCGTATAATACGAAGCTGACTGGTTTATTTACATTTAAATGCAGTTTGGAAGTATGGTTATTGACTCCTTCTTTGAAAAAAATAAACTGGGCGGCTGAACACATCAGCAATGAGATAACCTAAGCTTACATTAATAAGTATGATAGCACTTAAATATAGTTATTGTAATCATAATTACTTGTAGATCCCATAATCATCCATTTGTCTTTCTCGCATTCGCCCATTACAGGGACACTTATCGACTGTAATAATGTCTGGTATTCCGAAATGCAACCGGCAAAGAAGCAGGTAATATAATATGATGCATTATTGGTTAGCTGTTTTAATAGGCAATTTCTTACATCCATTTAGGAATCCTCATCCTTCTTAAAGTCACCCGAGAGCTCAACACCAAGAGACAGCGCAATTCTTTTCACTTCATCTTTTCCTACGGAGGCAGCAACAGAACGAAAACCACAATTTCCATCCCCAAGAACTTTTGTCACCGAAGCGACGTGATTTAGCATGCAGACGGAGAACAAGGCTACAAAAGGCTTGATATGGTCAACAATGATGGTAGAACCATCGAATATCACTTGCGCGAGTTTCTTTGTAGTAGATGCTTTTGTTTGTTCACCTTCTTCAGTCTAACCTCAGCGGCTTCACCTTGGGAAAAAATTCTCCCCGTCTTTGAAATTTTTTCTAAAAAAGGAGTTATAAGTACTGATAAACTGAATATAATATTATTTTTATGTCAACTTACGACTACTGACTACTTGTTCCTTCTTTTTCAAAGGCTGTAAGACCTTGAAATCCAGATTAGCATTGATGTTGTCCACCATTTGGCTGATAACATCAAGCTTTTCTTTTCGTACGTGCTCAAATGGCATTTCTTCTATTGCCTGTCGAAGCTAGTGCAAAATTGTGTCAGTTGCATTTCAATTAAAGTTTAAAATGGGCTTGTTAACAGTTAAATAATTTGTCTATAAACACAAAATAATACATGCTGACAACAACTGGTGTACACTCTCAAGAGAGGTCGAGTTATTGCTCAAGGCCAATTTTCCAACAATCCATCTTGCGTCCACAGAAGAGAGAGGAATGACAACATCCTTACGGGATAACCAGACTGTCCCATCCATTACTGTTTGTCTGGCTGCTGAAATACCTGATCATATTCTTCCTTGTATATGATATGTCTACAAGGTAGCTTCATGACAGTACTGAAAACTCCTGTACAAGGTCTCAAGCTGCGATCACTGATCTCTTTCTTGAACATTTGTACTTGCTCCCTAATCTTCTCAATTGCAAATCTGCTAACCACCTTGACCAATTCACGAAACATTGGGTTGGTTAAAACAAAAGGATCGGCCGATAACGTCGAGTAACCTTTACCCATGACAGCTTTGATGTTCTGGTTGGCGAGCACCATATCTAATTGGAGCAAATGTTGTGGCCAAGCTACATTTGGCAATTTGACGATTATTTCCTTTCAATGCACTGTGGGCTGCTTCGACAGGACTGGTCGTATAAATTCCCATGTGGGAAAACTTATCTGTGTACTGCTTGACCCAAGAAGTACGTTGTTTGTACAATTCGTCAACAAAATCCACAATCTTTTCCACATTTCTTGTTGCATTCAATGCATGCTTTTTGATGTTATTGACATTGGCGATAGTTTCAGCATCGTTTTTGCTACCATGTAACATCCAAAATAAGTTAACTAAGGCTTCATACTCTTTTGTGTCGGGAAACAACTTAAAACAATTGGCTTTGACATTTTGAGCGATAATGTGCCAAACACAAATCATCTTATTGACTTCTGGAAAGATATTATCCAGGGCACTACGAACACTTGCAGCTCTATCAGTGATAATCACTTCTGGTAAGGTACCAGCATTCTGGTAGATCTGCATTGTTATTAATATATGAACAAAAACAAGAAATTATAAATAAAATAATTATTTCAAATTTAAATGAGAGTGATAACATAAAATAAAAATAATAATACAAAGATTGAAGGATAAAAAGTTAGATTTTTTTTTTTCATGCATCATGTCAAAACATTACCTTTGTCTTGAGTGTCTCAAAAAACCACTCATAAGTCACCTTGGTTTCGTCCGCAACCCAGGCCAAAGCAATGGAATAATTCATTAAACCCTTCTTCGATCCATTGCTGATATTGTTGACACCAATGGCATTTATGAGGGGATAACCAAACATGTTAGTACGGTATGTGGCGTCAACGAGAAGTACTTCGGGGCATTGACGAATGTTGTTTACCGCACTAACATGGGCAAAGAACAAATGGGTCAACCTTCCATTCTCCTCATACTTGCTTGACAAAGTATAACCCTTCTCTTCTAAGTTGCGAATGAAGGGATTCATGTGATGTTGATTTTCACCTTCGTTTAAAGCACGTCTCAACAGAGCACGTTGGTTGGTGATGTCCTTTGCAATCACTTTCGTCTTTGTGCACTTGACGTTGTTTACGGCCGCGACAATAGCCGATGTCTTGGCGTTTGCAACGTGCATCTCTTCAATCGTACGTTGCTGTTCGTAATGGAGCTTGCGGTTGTTGACAAGACATAATTTTTCGTCGTCTTCCAACATGTCATGATTATGGACATCGTTGTGGCTTTTAACGATCCAACGATCTCCATTCTTCTTGGGCAAAACTGCTCTGATAAAAAATTCGCAGGTTCCAGTCATTGTAACTTTAACTCTTTTGCGAGAGTTCTCGGTACGAACGGCCTTGTACTTGTTGCTGAATACACAGGCGTAATGGAAAAAGGCTGACTTTTTAGCATGTCCAATGGGTGAACTGTCCCGGATGAATAGCTGAAAACCTTGGTCGGCGGCAGCATCAAAACAGGCGTCTTTAAATTCCTCGGCGGAGGCAAAAGTATCACCTACGGTAGGAAAAGTTGTAGTTTTAAAAGTAGTAATCGACATTTTAAAAGTTTTATTTAAGGAAAAACGTTACTGAAAAAATAAAAAAGTACGTAGAAAATAAAAAAAAAAAGAATAAGTACGTAGATCACGTGTTATTTGTTTAAAAAAAATCACGTGTTTTAAAAAAGTACGTAGAAAAAAAAAAGACGTGGGTGTAGACATTTTTTTTCGAGCACCGGTGCAAACTTTTCTTTGTGTTTAATACCTCGAAATGACCAAACAACCTATTGGTGCTTGTTTTTTATTTTTATTTATGGTATTTGACGAAATTAAAACAATTCATAAATAATGACATAAAAGTATATCATTATTTGAGAAGAAAGAAGACTAAAAAAACTATGCGACTACTAAAAAATGATCCCAATATATTGCAGTCTTTTAATGATGAGTCAACCATTTCTGGTTTTGGAATAAATGTATACATTGTTTACCGCCTGCTCAACTTAGTACTGCTTGTTAGAATTTTTTCCAGTTAACGTTATCCCATATCAGTCGATCAAAAGTACGACTATCCTAACAATCATCGGTTTTAGGAGACACGTATTTATGAGATCATGCAACTGTTGGTGTAAAAGAAGCATACTGGTTTAGCTAGTGTAATTTGCAGTAGAACATAATAGTTGTAGTTCTCCTTTATTTGTTGACTTTGTAATACATAAAATTACAAAATCTTTAAAAGATTTGTATATTTGGTTGAAGAAAGTAGGTATCCATTCACTCATACACTTTACCAGATCACTAACGTATATCAATATATAATTAAATGAACCATAATATTAATATCTTTTCTATTCTCTCCATGGTAAGCAATACATTAGTAGAACTTTTGATATTAAGTTCCTCTTTCTTACAATTCTTGATCTGATCTGAAAAGATTCTCTTCTCGATTAGTGCTATCGTAAGTCGGTAGTAAAGCATTTGGTATATCGTATTTAGACTAATCATGCAATTCTTTAATATAGAATGATATACTTGTAGTAGGAAAAGTTGTATAGCAGTGTACAAGCGTATTTTGGTATGCTACATCAAAGCTTGCTTCAATCTCATTGATTATTTAATTAAACGATTTGTTAAATTATCTTTAAATGAATCGTACCTTAAAACAACACAGTCAATTTAAAAGTGTTACCGGTATATGAAAACTACAAAACAGTTGGAGGTTGTTTCTCCTTTCTCAAATTTTTAAAACAACAACAATGGAAAAAACAACAACAATGGAAAAAACAACCATCTATGGAAATCGTGAAACCTTTTCACAAGATGGCTCTCAGGGACGTGCCCAGTTCTGAGAAGGCATCGGAAGAAAAGGAACCTCTTCAGAAATTGGATGTGGAGGAATCCCACTCGGAGTTGGAGGAGTCAATCGAGATGGAGAAAAAGAAAGAAAAGTTGGAGGACTTACGAGAGAAGATACAACTTCTTTCTAAAGAATCCGACTTGTAAGAATTCCAGTTCTGACCTTCCTGCTAGAAAGGGAACCCGATAAAAAAATGAGAGGTAAAATAAAAAATTAAAATAAAAACGATAGAAAAACAATTCTACAGTAACGGCTGGTTTCAAAAAAAAAAATTCCTACTGGAGGAATACTGGTTAGTCATGGTTGAATATTTGCAGGACATTTTAACTGATGTTTCTGAATAAAATAGCAATGTTACTGGTATTCCGACTAAAATGTTTTTCCATTGAATAATTGCGTTACTGTAGAAGGGTATTTTTTCCTTTGTCACATTATTCGGTACAAAATGTACTGGTGAACACATCAGTGACGGATTGTTAATTTTGACAAATCAATTCTTCTGCTTTGGAATATCAATTTTCAGAATCATTCCTATTTTCGCCAGTTAGCCAATTTTTAAATGACGTAACTTTCTGTAAGTTCGAAATAATGTGTGAAAAGCAAAAACGTTCTCCGGATATTTAGTATTTAAAGAAATGTTTGTGGTCATATCTTTGGGATTGATTGAGTAGTTGTACATATATCAAATAGTTCGGTAGCCGACAAATATAACGACAATGCAGTATCAATTGATCAAGTTAGAAGTAGTAGTTGTCTGGGAGAAACCTGGAAGTAATGGTAATGGGGCGGGACAATGTGGTTTGGCTAGGCGATGTGGTGTTCGAGGTAATAAATTTAGTTTAATATTTTATAAATGCCACTAACTTTAAACCAAATCTTTATAGTTGGAAGTATCGAAAACTTCACCGCCCGTTTCTTTGAGGTCATGATGTTTTTTGAGAACCAATTCATATACTGGCCGAATGAAATTGAAAAGAAAGAAATTAAAAATGCAAATGAAAACCGCTTTGGGTCTCCGTACTTACCTGGGATTATTGAGGGTTCCCAAATTGATCTTACATGTGAATCTCCCTGTCATAGAAAGGATGAGTATTATGGGAGGAAATCAACCTAGTGCATGAATACAGTTGCAATCTGTGAACGCAATCGAAACATCTGCTACTTTGGCTGTAGGTAGTTTGGAAACTCGCACGCCATGAAAGTGTTGAAGCAAAGCCATCTCTATAAAAACAAAGATGACTTCGTCAAGGAGATGAGTACGTTCTTGGAGAAGGTGGGTACCAAGCCTACAAATGTTTGGTACCTATCCATAAGAAATCTCATGGTGAACACATGCCTGCAGACGATGAAAAGTTTGATAAGTACATTGCAATGATGCGTATCAAGAGCGAGCATTTTTTGGAGATTTTAAAAGAACGATTTTATTCGCTATAATTACTTCCTACTCGAATCAATGACAGAGGTGATCATCAGTTCGTAAACGTATGAATTAATGTCTGTATTATCTTGAACAACTTTCTTTTTGAATTGAACAAACAGATGACGAAGATATTATTTTACGAAGCAATTATGGGACAAAAAAAGAGGAAGCGTTAGCCATGCCGAGTCAAAAATCGAAGAAGATGTTCAAATGTCGTAAGGATCAACAGGAGGAATATAATGTTGGGGAAAACAGTTCTGAAGAAGCTACTGAAGAGGAAAAAGATCTCCACATCGGTAAGAAAAGTACAAAACGATCAATGAAATTGTTCTTACGTTTAACAACAAATCCCACGTTTTTCTAATAACAAACAATAAAAATATCATATATGTCATATGCATGGTTTAATTTAATAAATTTTATATTCCAAGTTGAGGTTATATAACATGGCGACACCTTGCTCAAATTAAAAGTGTTGATCCTCGTGATGGCATTTTGACACCTGCCCATGTACTCTGCTAATCTTATCTTTTTTGCCGCTGCTTCTCGCTGACCCTCGTCGAAACTCGTCACATGTATGTAACTAGTTGCATTCATTTAACACATGACGGGGAAAAAAGGAAAAACCTGTTATGACACTAGAAAATTTGAATCGTCATTAAAACCCTGCAGAGTGGTGTAATATAAAAACAATCAATTAGGTCATAGCAGCAGAGTTATTTTAGCTATTTGTACTTCGAATAAAGATATAGTTTTATCT